TGCCTCGCCAGAGAAGAGCGCAATGATGGTGCCAACTTGGGCCAGTGAAGCAACGTCCTCCACAACTAGATTGAAGAACAAAAAAAAAAACGACAGCAACTTGCCTGTTCCCCTTTCCCCAATTCCCCAGCACTGTTCCCAATTCCCCAATAAAAATCTTTAAAAAAAAAAAAAAAGAAATGTTTAATGAGTGCCTACCATGTGCTAGCTACTGTTCTATGCTCTGGGGGATACAGTAGTAAATAAGGAGGTTACATTCTATACAACATGTATTTGCCCCTTGGGCTAAGAAGTCAGAAAATATTTTATTAGCTTTACAAAGTTCTTAAAATATATACCAATGATTTCATGGTTTTCTGAACAAGGTTAGAAGACCAATACCTAAAACAATCAACTGTGGTCATGCATTTGAAATGTAATGCTAAGGAAAAGTTTAATTTTGAAGATACATTGAAGAACCTTGTTGTTTCAGTTTGTTCTTTGGAGTGTTTTGAAAAAATTGAGATTAAATTTTTTTTTCTAAAATTATATTTCTAGTTTAACTGAAGATGCTCAAACTGAAGGGAATAAAAGATAACAGATAACATACAATTCTTTATATTTGAAGTGCTTAAAAAATATCGCATTCATTTCAAACTTGAATGCCCTCAACAATATGCTACCTTATCTGCTCTACTTTGAATTTACAAGATTTTGCCTTGAAAGAAAACGCAATACTGATAACTACATTTTTTTGTTGTTGTCATTGAGGACTAAGATGACATTCATGATATTTTGGAATCATTCATTTTAATACACTTCCTTGTTCTGACCTAGATTAGGGAGGATTCACTTCAAATTAACAGGATTCTATTTTGGTATATATACATACTAGTAAATCTTCCCAGTCGCTTTTACTTTACCTTAATATTCAACATGCAAAAGGAATCATATTTTTAACCAATAAATAATTGGCTATGTTTATCATTATTTTGATTCCCGAAACACTTAAAAGGTAGACTTGCTGCCAGTCAAGGGCTGAACACATTACATGACCAGTTTTCTGAAGACAGAAGATACCATTGTTAATTTAAAAGTCATGATTTTCTATGGCCAATTCAAACATTGCAGCTATTCAGATTCCTGTGTAGGATTTGGTCTTCAATGTTACGAAATATGTTTTCAAAAGTAGCTTTTTCCTTGAGTTATTTATGTTCTTACAGATTTCAATCAAGCCTTTTATTCATTTTCTCATTTTACTGATACATCTAATAACTGGATTAGAGAGCTTCCTCTATCAGATATTTTACTGCCCAAATTTCCTCCCACCTGCACAACAGGTAGATTTCATCAGAGATTAATCCAGCAACCCTTTCCTGAATTTAGTGTTAGGTACAGTGAGAGATTAAAAAGGATTTACAATCTAAAGAAGTCAGGGAGGGAAATATGCACACTGTACTAGAAACAACCATTACAAAATAACATCAAAATAAGTATGCAGGCAGTGAGGAAAGGACAATAACTCCAGTAGAACTTTGAGTTGATTATGCACTGCTTAGCGTTGATGTAGAGGTCTCCTAGTTCTCAACAACAGTTCCCAACATTTTAGTGTTATGCATTAGAACATAGTTTACATTTAGGGTACAGTTCAGCTTGAAACAGAATTGCGGAGTTGGACTCCAAGAATCCCCCCAATTTTTTTTAAGTGCTCTGGGAACATACTGGTTTGTCTCTACTTAAGCATTTGCCTTTCAATATAGCTACCAAAACAAACTAAAAATAGAACTAAGGAATCTGTGCTCTTTTGAGGACTGCAAAAGCAAAGATTTTTTTTTTAAACACTTTTGCAAGATATCAATAGAGGCACGTTTGTGGAGATAATTTGAAAGTAACTTCAAGTGAATCGACCTTTAAAAAGTCCCACAGAGACCACAATTCAGAATGTTTTTGCTTTTAAGAGACTAAATGATGGAACTTTTAACCTTAAATGAATCC